AGAAAAAAAAACAGCTCAAGAGAGATTCAAGTCAGAGTTACAATTTACTAAAAAGACTATAATAAATACAGTGATACAGAGAAAAACTGGTTTTAATCACCGAAGACAGATGTATAACTCCGCACCTTGGGACAAGAACAGAGCAGTGTTCATTGGCCCCTGTGCTGAGCACCACGTGGTCCCCCTGGAGGCAAAGTAAAAGGAAAAGGAAACCTGTTGGTGCAGATGATGGCCACAGTTCTATTAAAGTAAGGATTGCAGTCTTGTCGAGAGTGGCAGTCGCAGTCCTGTTGAAGTTCTGGTCCTCCTCTGGATCCAATGAGTGGTACCAGAAGTCCCAAAACTCCAAGATTATGTATACTCAGGTTCAGGTGGGAATGCCCAATACCTCCCGCAGGGCAGGGAGTTTCACAATGGGTGGTTTAACTCTATGAGTCGTGGGATATTTTTGGAGTCTTTGATGGTCTAGGACATTGCATTTGCCTATTATACCAGTCCAGTATGGCCCATTAGCAGAGATGACACCTCAGGTTGGGTGTGAAGGTGCTAATTCCCCCCTGAAGAGGATTTATCACAGCTGGGTCATTGGTGTGAAGACAATGAAACACTCCCCTGCCCAACTTGTAACCTGAGGTGTCAGGTGTGCCCTGGGCAGCTGCTGCAAACAATCCATTTATTAACAGTCCATCAGAAATTACATAAAGGGTGCGGAATACACAGGTTTGGTTATACCCACATAAACTGGCCTGTATAACTAGGACACTCTGATACAGCTAGAATTGTAGAATATCCTGAGTTGGAAGCAGACCCACAAGGATCATCAAAGTCCAGCTCCTGGCCCTGCATGGGACCATCCCCTAGAGTCACACCAACTGCCTGAGAGTGTTGTACAAGTGCTTCCTGAACTCTGTCAGGCTTGGTGCTGTTACTATTTCCCTGGGAAGCCTGTTCCAGTGCCCAGCCACCCTCTGGGGGAACAACCTTTTTCTAATATCCAACCTAAATCTCTCCTGATACAGCTTCATGCTATTCTGTCACTGATCACCGCAAAGAAGAGATCAGTGCCTGCCCCTTTGCTTCCCCTTATGAGGAAGTTGTAGACCGCAATGAGATCTCCCCTCAGTCTCCTGGAGGCTGAACAGACCAAATTACCTCAACCACTTCTCATATGGCTTCCCCTCAAGGCCCTTCATCTTTGTTGCCCTCCTTTCTCTAATAGCCTAATGTCTTTCTTATATTGTGGTTTCCAACACTGCACACAATATTGAACGTGAGGCCGCCCCAGTGCTGAGCAAAGCGGGACAGTCCCCTCCCTCGACTGGCTGGTGATGCTTTGCCTGATGCTCCCAGGACATGGCTGTCCCTCCTGGCAAACAGGGCACCACTGGCTCAGATTTAACTTGACATTGACCAGGACCTTTCCACAATGCTCCTCTGCACATCTTGTTCCCCAGTCTGCACATACATCCACAGTTGCCCCACCCCAGATGCAGAATCCAGCACTTGTTTTTGTTAAACATATGGTTGGTGATGGCTAGGTCTTTCTGCAGGGCCTCTCTGCTTTCAAGTGAATCAACAGCTTCTCCCAATTTAATACCGTCTGCAAATTTACTTAGTATACATTCAAGTCCTACATCAAAGTCATTTATGAAGACATTGAAAATGGAGCCCTGAGGAACCCCACTAGTGATAGATCACTAGCCTGATGTTACCCCGTTCACTATTACCCTTTGCACCTGACTTGTGAGCCAGTTGCTCATCCATTGCATGACGTGTTTATCCAGCTGTGTGCTGGACATTTTGTCCAGAAGGATACCGTGAGAGATTACTGAAATCCATAAAAATTCCATGAACATAGAGAAAAGTTCTCAGGATATTTTGAATCACAGTAGTTACCTCCTGAAAAACAGCTTAAAAGTTTTGCAGGTTGTAGATGATTTATTCATAGGAATGATTGTCTAATACATCCAGTAAAAGTGTTGCTATTCTTGCAGTGATACTAATATAAGGATGAGGCATAGTCAGTCATACCAGCAACCACCTACACATGCTCTAGAAATACACTGATGAAATTCCATGGACTACTGACATGTGGGTTTCTCTGTTGCTCATAGATTAGAATGGATTTTTTTTATTGTTTTATGGACATTTCACTGGAAAAGATTGTCCAAAAGCAGTTCTTCAGAACAGTCTCAGAATATCAAGTCACTGCCCATAGGAAAATACAGCATATCTTACCTGTGGAGAACACAGTGTTGTGTTAACTGGAGAGAAAAACAATTACTATCATTGTGCCATACTTTCAAGTTTCTTCTTCTCTGCTGAAAATAGTGTGAAGAAATAGATACCAATCTTTGGCCACAAATCCACAAATATTTTCAGGAGTATAGAGAATATTTTTGTTCTGTTTCCTATTGACATTGACAGAAGATCAGAAATGTGTTAAATTCTACTTCCCAGCACATTTTAAGACTTAGAAAAATGCTTAGTTTTTTAAGGCTCTCCATGTAACCTACTTCTTTTGAATTCAGCAAAAGCTTTTTGGTCTTGTAAAGCAACAACAGTTAATTCAGTGTTGGGAGCTTTGAAAAATCTTATCCTGGAAAACTAACACTGTACAAGAGGCTAAAGCTGTTAGATCACACCACCAAAAAAGGGAAACTATTTCCAGTGCAGTGTTGCCCAGAACATGTGTTTATTGGAAAAGCTGCCTGAACAGAAGCCAAAGTAATCTCCTAAAAAACCTGCCTTTAAACAACCAAATTACAAACAAAATAGCAGTTGACTGAAAAATTTTAAAGTAAGAAAGTGAACAGTATATTAAGTTGTTTAGTTTTATTATCAAACTCCTCAGTGTCTGAAGACAGACCACTTGAAAAAATTAATTTCTGTTTCTGCAAAGTTCCAGCTCACAGTATTGTTAGATATTAATCTCCTCAACATTAATGCCAGCTGTTATATTCCTTTGCTAAATCCAGCCTCTTTGTTCCATGCAACAATAGAAAAAAACTCCAAACCTGTAGCTGCTCCACATCCTATACATCCATTATTTTTAATTGCTGGTGTGAAAAAAGTGACAGTATTGGTATATATGAAGTCAGGGTGCTTTTTTATTGGTATTTTTCAGATTGACTCATCATCTGTGAGTCACTGTGTGTAGGTTCTTGAGTCCCTCCCTCACCTGCATAGTTTAATACTGGTTGTGTTTTAGTTTAATAAAGTTTTAAGGCAATTTTCTTTATCTCAGGAATTCCTGCATGTGCAGCTTGTACTGTTATTCCACAGGCTACTTAGGGCAACCTTCAGTTTCACTATTCATTGTTTGTTTGCTGTTTCTAAGGAAAGGATTATTATTTGTAAAATGGGTCTGAATGGGTCTTTTGTTCTTTTTTCTAATGAAACTGTGTGCTGGTTTTGACTGGGATAGAGGTAATTTTCTTCACGGTGGCTACTATGGAGCTGTGTTTTGGATTTATGCTGAACATAGAGTTGATAATGTAGAAATGTTTTTGTTATTGCTAAACAGGGCTTACACAGAGCTAGGGCCTTTTCTGCTTCTTTTACTGCCAGGCTGGCAAGGAAGTTGAACAAACCTCCTGAAAGGAGGTGCCGTGCCTATGGTGAGAGGACCAAAGGAAATGACCTTAAGTGAGACAGAGGAGATTCAGATGAGATATTAGAAAAAATGTTTTCACTGTTAGAGTAGTCAGGCATTGGAATAGGTTGCCCAGGGAGGTGGTGAAGTCACCATCCCTGGAGGTGTTTAAAAGGTGTCTGGATCTGGCAATGAGTGACGTGGTTTAGGAGTTACGGTGGTAGTGCTGGTCTGATGATTGGACTTGATGATCTTGAAGGTCTCTTCCAACCTTGATGATTCTATCATTCTAAAGGCTCTGTGCTATTACAATATTTAAAGCTGTTTAGAAAACTGACAGCAACAATGTGTCTAGTGTTTAATACTGTTATCTGTATTGAGTTTCTGGCTCTTGCAGTGCCTTTCTGTATGTCTAGACAACAAATTTCCAGGTAACAAATCCCTTGTAAGTTAGATTAAGTTTTAAAGCTTCTGAAAGACACCAGGTAGCTACTATATTGTGAAAAGCTTAATTTTCACTAGTCCTTTCACTGGAAAGATTAAAGGATAAGTCACAATAACTTAATTTTAATTTTTTTGTCCTACATGTATTTTAATGTATACCAGTTCATACTAATAACATGTAACTTTTTCTAAGGAGTTTTCAGTTTGTACTGAAAGGATAAATGTGGAGGAGAAATGCAGTTCTGTTGAAAACTTGAAAAAACTGCTACACTGTGTAGCAGTAGAAGAAGAAACAGAGAAACTGCAAAGTTAATTTGAATGGTAAAGCTAAAGTTTAATTTAGAAAATATTGAACCTTGATGGGCCTTGAAATACAAACATTTAAGTAAAGTATATTGTCGTAGGAAACATGACCAGTGGTCCATGGGCTAAAGGTAGATAGGTTTAAACAGCATAAAATAACAGTAGTGGTAGTGTCTGGGGTTAACTTGTAAATGAAATATTATTAAAATAATTATAATAATGAAAAAAAATATTGATTTCATACAGACAAGTCCTGCAGTGTCACTCATATTCTCTAGAGAAACAGTGCAACTTCCAAAGAAAGTTAATCTGTGTTGTGAAGAAACTGTGTGCACTTGTGAACAATTTCATTGATCTAGTAGAATAGCTTCCTGATGAAATGATGTATGAGCATAAGGCTTAAAAGATAATGCATACCTAAGTTATGTCGACTTTTTCCATATATTCCCTAGGTATTATGTTGCTTTGTGGTACTTGTTTATAATTTACTAATAATACAGTTTGAGTGAGAAAACAGCAATTTCTCCCATTATCCAAAATGCAGCTAGATCGTAAGTTAGCAGATGGCGCATCATCTGTAGAACATTATTAAATTAATTGTATTTAATACAAGCATATATATACTTGAGTTCTCTGATGATTTCTTTTGATGTTGCAGGAAACAGCATACTCCATTCCGCAGCAGACAGTGTGACAAGTGCAGTACAGAAGGCAAGCCAGGCCTTGAATGAGCGTGGTGAAAGGCTAGGTCGTGCAGAAGAAAAGACAGAGGAGCTGAAAAACAGTGCTCAGCAGTTTGCAGAAACTGCACATAAGGTAAGATTTTGTCAGGATAAGATTCTCAGTAGGTTAGAGTCACACACTGTTTTGAGAAGAGAAAGAATTCATTCAGTCACTGTTTAGAAACAGCTTGCTGTTTTCCTTGACAGTTTCTCACCTGGCAAATTTCTAGTTAATACATTCCTTTGTGCCTAGATATGAGATTTGCTGCATTTCCACTTGAATTGAAACTACCTGTCTTCACCTTCCTGAGGCATATTTCAAATCCATCTTCCCACTACTGTTTGGTACTATTCCTCATATTTTGTGCAGCAGTACAGTGAAATTGTTGCTAATCCCCTTTGATAAGCAACATAGGTCTATGACTACCTGTTTCTGAAAATGTATCTTTTTATGTATGGATATCTTATTTATGAGGATTTTAAGGAATTGTTCTCTGGGGAATGGATGTACATTTCCTACTTTTGATGGAAGATATTGATAGTACTTTATGCAAATGAAAAAACATGCCGAGCTTCCATGTTTGTGCCAGAACTTCTAGTCATCCTCAACGTTCCATTTGGTGGCTGTACAGCACATTCACAGCATACTTTCAATGCTTTTTAAAAAAGGTAAAAGTTTTCTGAACACGAGCAACTCTTGCAGCATGCAAGTTTGATAGTTTTGCTGCTTAGCACAGGCATCAGACTTTATCCTGCTTGTGTCAAAACATTCTTGGCCTGCTGCATTAACACTAAAATTCCTGGATTGGTATCTTGCAGTTCTTGTACTTGATGTACAAGTGTCTGTCTTTAAAATTTCACAAAGCAACTTATTTTAATATTTCCTGGGATAATCCTCTACTTTGTGGTCCATTTAGAGTATGGTACGGTACAAACCTGCTGTTGAACTCTTCCATCTAAGACCCACCAGCTTTCCTCATCCCCCCACCTCCCTGCAGTGATGATAACTATGCCAACTTAGCAAACCAACTGTAAATAGCAGGTACCAGTCTTTTAGGAAAGGAGGCAAAGGGTTTGCTGCTTTAGAGTAAAGTATAGAGTGCTGCTTCATTGAAAAATGCTTCTGATATTTGGGCTGCTATGAATCTTGATTGAAATTTGAATAGGTTTTATTTGTGTGTGCTCTTTCATCTTCCACATATGCAGAACATCAACAGATGGAGACATGCTGAGAAACAATCTTTTTTCAATTGATTTTGTTAGGAAAATCTTATTTTAAAAATCTCAGAATTAAATGATGCTATATTGTAATAAAAATACCATCTTGGAAAGATTGTACTGTACCATAATTAGAAATAAAACTCTGCAAAAACTGTATGTGAGACTCATCTTCAAGAAGAGCCTGAAGGAGGGTCTAAGGAACTACAAGTCTGTCCTGTAGACCTGGAGGCCAGGGAAAGGTTATGGAGCATATCATCACACACCGTGCCACACATGTGGGACAACTGGGGGAACAGGCTTCGTGAAAGGCTGGTTCATGAAAGGCAGGTCCTGCTTGACCAACCTGATCTCCATCTATGACAAGGCAGCATGCTTAGTGGATGAGGGAAAGGCTGTGGATGTTGTCTTCCTGGGCTTTAGTAAAGCCTTTGACACATTCTCCTGGAGAAACTCGATTCCCATGGCTTGAATGGGTGCACTGGGTTAAAAACTATCTGGATGACCAGGCTCGGAGAGTGGTGGTGAATGGAGTTAAACCCAGCTGGCAGCTGGTCACTAGTGGTGTCCCCCAGGCTCAGTATTGGGACCAGTTCTGTTTAATATAATTATCAACAATCTGGATGAGGGAATGGAGTTCACCCTCTGTCAGTTTGCAGATGACACTAAACTGAGCAAGAGTGTTATCTGCTGGAGGGTAGAAAGGAAATGCAGAGGGATCTGGACAGGCAGAATTGATGGGCCAAGGCCAGCAGTATGAGATTCAATAAGGCACAGTTCTGGGTCCTGCACCTGGGTCACAATGATCCCCTACAGCGCTACAGGCCTGGGCAAGAGTGGCTGGAAAGCTGCCTGGCAGAAAAGGATCTGGGGGTGCTGGTTGACAGCTGGCTGGACATGAGCCAACAGTGCACCCAGGTGGCCAAGACAGCCAATGTCATCCTGGCCCGTATCAGAAACAGTGTGGCCAGCAGGACCAGGGCAGTGACTCTCTCTCTACTCAGTCCTGGTGAGGCCACACCCTGAATCCTGCATTCGGCTTTGGGCCCCTCATGACAAGAAAGACATTGATGTGCTGGAGTGTGTTCAGAAAAGGGCAATGAAACTGGTGAAGAATCTGGAGCACAAGGAGCAGCTGAGGGAGCTGGGGTTGTTTAGTCTGGAGAAATGGAGGCTCAGGGGAGACCTTGTTGTTCCCTACAGCTACCCAAAAGGAGGTTGTGACGAGGTGGGGGTTAGTATGTTCTCCCAAATGACAGGACAAGAGGAAATGACCTCAAGTTGTTCCAGGGGAGGTTTAGATTGGATATTAGGAAATGTTTCTTGAGCAAAAGGGTTGTCAAACAGTGTAACAGGCTGTCTAGGGAGGTGACGGTCTCCATCCTTGGAGGTGTTTAAAACGCACGTAGATGGCACTTAGAGACATGGTTTAGTGGTGGACTTGGAAGTGTTAGGTTAATAATTGGACTCACTGATCTTAGAGGTCTTTCCCAAGCTGAGTGATGGTATAATTCCATGATTCTACTTCAGCTATATGACAGGTTATTTTAAGATACAAAACACATAATGGAGACTGGTGGAAGATGCATGGCATCGGAGTAATTTTTTTAGCATTTCACCGGTTGAAACAGCAAATGAGGGCATTTTAACTTCCTCTACCAGTTCGGTTTTCTAGGTAACTCCCTAGAGGGTTCACTCATTCAGCTTTGTTAGCATGCTATTATCTACAGATAGCAATTTTTTGTTACATGGAACCTACACCTAAGCTCTCTACTTGCTTTGCAAAGTCGGTTTGTCTACAGATTTTATACAGGATTTAACTCACTTCATCTTCCTTCTTTCTCTCATTCCTAAATTAAGTCCATTTTTTAAATTATTTGAAATGGAAATACTAGGTAATCACAGAGGTGGAAGGGCAATCAGTTCTTTGTTTTTCATCATTATGTAGTGGCACCTCCTGAATAGGTGTTTTCAATTACTTGCACAGAATTTCTGATTGTAGTTAACAATCAAGATCCTTAGGTCAAAATTACCATTCTTTTAAGCATGTCTTTGTTTCTGGTGTCTTGCTCTAGCCTTCCTCACAGATAGAAAAATAATGGAACACTGGGAAACACAGCTGTCTGAAAGCAGATAAATCCTGCCTCCTCAGCACAGCAGCTTTGCTTATGCGTCACAGTAAAGGGAATGACTGCCTATCTGTTTGCAGAGGAGTTAGGCATTTCAGACATCTTTTGAAGAATTTGGTTTACAAACTCTTCTCAATCAGACTGGCCACATTAGCTTGATATAGCTATCATTACATGTGATATTTCTTTAATTAATTTTTTCTGTCTTTTTCAGCTTGCCATGAAGCACAAATGCTGAGATACTGCCCAAAGCTGAAATCTTCCCAAGAGAAACTGAAAAGGCTACATTCAGCAACTTTTACAGGAGATCCAGTCTTCTGTGTTCTTTTTCCTTCCAGTTCAGTGGAGATGCGTTCTTTCAGTTTCTGTGCAGGAAGAAGTGTTGCATTTCTGCCTTTCTGACTTACTTTTTTTCCTCTTTTGTAATATTACTACACAGTCCTGCAGTACTTTCTACCTGTATTTCAGTTGTTACAGGAGTGAAAGCAGTGGAACTGGACCAAATGACAAGCTGATCAGGATTAAAATAGTAATATTCTTCCCTGGTTGTACAAAATTACTGAGCTGATTGTGAACATGCTCGTGAAAATAAAATCCAAAGAAGAGGTATAATTTTCTTCATTTTATGTAGCATCAGCAGAATGTGAATGTTGGAATTAAGCACCTGGGGTTGTAGCTATAGTGGAGAATAGACTGCTTTGTCCTGGGAAACAGAAAAACTTGTTTCTTCTACCCAATGTAGGAAGTTTTGCATGTGCACCAGCATTCAGAAGTGTATATCTGAATTTCATTCATATCAGCATTTTACATATTCCTATTTTCCCTTCCAGATTGATCATTTGAATAGTATACTGAAACCTAAAGAATGTATGCTTGAGGTTTCAAAATAGAGGAAAAAGTGAGTTTTACATCTATACGCACATAGCTGTGCCTCAAACACAATCTAGAATTTAGCAATCTGTTATCAAATAACATTTCTTTTTACCTGTGATTCTGTGGCTAAAGGCCTATGAAGATGAGAATGCAAAGGCCTGGGAAAATGAGAATGCACTATTTTCAAGACATCTGTTTTTTATAAATTCTACATTAAGAGCTTTTTTTGAACAATTCAGAGATTTGTCTGATTAGAATTACATTTGTGTTAGTTAGTTTTCTGATTTTCAATATAGAGGCTTTCAAAAAGCATGTCTTGGTACATTAGAATCTACTTGTAGATTGAGTCTCAGCTTTCAGTATGCTGTCACTAGAAGGGTGACACTACTTCGTTCTGTATTCACTATATGCAATATATGCACAGTATTCTCTTACAAAAATAAGTAGGTTACCCTTTTCCTTCATAGCTGTTTTCTTAAAATTTTTAGAATGTTCTAATATGCTTTGAGAATGAAAAAAAAAAAAAGGAAAAAAAGATGCCACTTTTTCTTTTTTTAAACTGGTAAGCTAGAAAAGAAATCCTGGCAGAAGGTACAGCCTTCATCTTCTGAAAATGCCTGCTGCTCTTCGTTTTTGTCCTCATCTTACCAGAAAAGCTGGCATTGAATGAATGTACTGTATTCATTGTAGAATAAGATTTTTGCATTATTAATGACACTTGTAACAGTCTGAAATCCTCAGAGTAGTGCTTATAAGAGAGATAAAAGCTACCGTAGTAATTGAGATTATTTTAGTTACTGCAAGCTGAAATAACTGAAAATCTCTTGGAAATACCCATTTTGTAAAAAGATGCTTGGCTTTAGGAAAATATTCCCATTCAAACTTAGCTGATTGCATTCAAATTTTACATCTGGGGTTTTTTTCCCTGTAATTTAAAAGGCTTTATATGAAGCTTTTTATTTAATTTCACACTGGGAATTGAGAGAATGGGTCATCTGTGTAGTACCATATGATCATTTAGATCTGTTTAGCACCAGCTCCAACAGTTACCAAATCTAGAACCATCAAGTGAAATGGAATTTGGTCACTTCTGTTATAAATCGGAACAGGTTCGTTAACGACACAAGTTTTGAACACTCTGAGTTATGTGTAATTAATGCCCTAGAAATGTCTGAACACTGTTGTAATGATTATGGGTATTTCTGCAAATTAACCAGGAAAACAATGTCTCATAAGAAATTAAACTTCTGCTAGGTACAAAATGTAAGGCTATTAAACAACAAAAAAAAAGATTCGTTAGAAATCAGTCAGGGAGTACGTTTTTGACCACATAGCTAACTTCTGTCATCATATTTTCCAGTCTTTTTTTACCTGTATTCTGCTGCTAACCTCACAAGTCTTGAGAGAAGAAACGAGTAGGTTTGGAACTGCTGCCATCTAGCTGGTCTTCTAAGCTTGCAAATAATTAGAAGAAATGTCTAGAACCCTGGTCAGATAAACTTGAAAAGAATTAGCTGTCTAAATTCAAATGAAAAGGCATAGATTTTCAAGTGTTTACATGAATATCAGCTGGACAGGACAAGGTCACAGTTGCTTGGCTAAGTTCCAGACTGTTTGTACTAAAACATTGCTTTAGTCCCACTGACAGTTCTTCATCATTTTTTATTTTTTTGTATTGTCTGGTTAAGTATATTGTTTTTTATCATAACTCAGGACTTTAATCCAACCATCAAAAGCCATTTACTATGAGAATTCTAAGTAACTTGGTGTTCTTGAATTAAGGAGAAGTGGTTTGTCTGTTTACTTCGTTCTTGCTGTTCATTAAAGTACAAGATTTGGTAGTTTTTAGAAAAAAATCAAGGTGTATAAATGTTTATCCAAACGTAAATCTTATAGCATTGCAATTTCCTTCTGGAACTTAGCTTGTAGTGTATACAACCTAGTATTATTAGATAGTCATGTACATAACATATACTATGATTCAGGTTAATGTTTCATATAAAAGAATGTACTTGTAAATTGTAACAATATTAATAGTTTCTTTATCTTTTTAAAGTTCTGAACAGAATAAAAATAATGTATTGTTAGACTTGACTGCTGTACTGCAAACTGTCTTAAAAGGCTACTTTTGTGTCTAGCAAAAGTTGTGCATTCTGTGAAATATTAACAAAAATGTGCTCTCTAAAAATTGATCTTAAAGGTAGGTAGGTTTTGCTATGATTTGCCAGAATTGTAATACTTGCTAGTATATATTGTAACCGATTCCTTGAAAGTTCTCAAAGATGTAGAAATTTTGTGCCATCCTGGGTGAAAAAAAAAAAGTGGGACCCGCTCTCTTGAGTCACTACTGGAAACCGTGATTTTTGTCATTAAATACTTCAACTGTGATGAAAACAAAACTGTCCTTGGATTGAGTTGTCTATTCAAAATATTTATTTGTAAATGACATTTTAATATTTTGTTCTAACACAATTATATTACATTCTAGCAAAACTGAATAAAGATTAGTTTTCACTGTAATTATGAAAATTTTTCTAGAATACTATAATTAAAAAGAAGTAGTGGAAACTAGGTTGAAGCATTGCATTTCCAAGCAGATTCCAGACAATAATTGACACAGGTTAAAATTAGCATCCTACCTAAAGGCTGTGAAGGTTAAAAAGAATTATCTTAATTTATTTTCAATTTGCTATGAAATGCTTATTCTCAAGTTGTTAATGTTTTCTTTTGGCCATGTAATTTTATTGATAATTTTTTATCAAAGCACAAGCAACTTTAATTGCCCAGTGAGAATAAAAGGTAGAATTCTTCTATACATAGAAAAGCAATCCCTTAGATTCGAATGAGGTCTACTTGCAGAACAATCTTATCTGATATGAACTGACTTTCCTGCCATCTCTTTTTTTCATGCTTAAATGTGATCCCTAAGTTCCTAATCTCAAAAATGTCTCAATGACAAATATTGTCACCTGGTTAAATTACTGTAGATACTAGGTAAGTTTTGCTAGAATGCATGTTATCCATCAGTGTTGAATGCCATACATGCTTAATGCCCAAACTGTATAAAATTTAACTAAAATAAATAGAACTCTGGTGGATCAGAAACTAGTTTGATCAGACAGCATTTTGTTGTTGGTTGAACATAACTATTTGGCAGTTCTTTTCCATTGTTATTGTACATTTATCCTATAAGATAGAAAGACAAAATTTTTGGTTCATTTTCTGAACATTTTTTTAGATCAATTTCACTGTGATGTCATTTTTTTATTGACATTATGATTTTCATAAATCATTATCAGCCTAATTTGCTGCTGTGTATAATTTATGGAAAAGATGATGGGGCTTCAGTCATGGACAAAGCTCAAGCATGAATGGTTGCTGATTCAATATCTGATTCAATATGTTAGAATTTCTAAGTAAAAGATACACTGGCTTGTTTAGTGTTGGAGAATATTGTTGCTGCCATATTCCTGAAGGCATAATATTTGACTGACAAAATCAAACTAAGATGCCTGATGCCTTCAGCTGCAAGCCACAGTATTAGTGAATCCATGCACTGCTTCAGGTAGTGAGCAAGTCAATAGTCCTGTCCAGTATTCATGAAGGACTGCAATATCTCAGATTAAAAATTGCTTTAATTTATTTCAAAATTATTCCCTCATGGTCCCTCATTACCAGTGGGGTAATGACATGAACTTACATAAACAACAATTTTTCTAATCATCCCAAAACCACAGTGTCCAATTCATAGCACATCATTACAGTTTGTTTTATGCATCATCTGGAAGCACTGCATGGTATTCAGTGTGTTTCCTTTATCCTTTTTTTGTTTGAGCTGTTAATGTCTTTTTGTCTGCTGTCACCTCATGCAGTCCTAATTGTGGTAACATTTTTTAAACAATAATTAATGTGGTTAGCTTTGGCAGGAGTTGACATGACACAGGCCCCAAAAGTAATTTATTATTTATTTTCACAATGACTGAGCAACAATAAACTAAGTCTAAAAATCTGTTACATGGAGTCATAGTATTATGACAGATCTTCAGTGTTCAGGCCAAGTATTCAGGGTATAAAAGTAAGCTTGTTACCTAGACTAGTCAAGTGGCTTTAGAAGTGGAGAAAATAGATATCTAACAAAATTTGAATTAATATTTTGAACAATTTCACAGGTAGCTAAAAGGGTGATGACTTTTGCAGAGGAACTAAAGAAACCTGTATTGTGTTGAAATTCTGTTGCTGCTAAAGATGGGAAGACAGAGTTTTCATCTGTGTTAAGTGTTCTTTTCCGGACAGAATAGAAAGAAAGTGTGGTAAAAATGAACCAGAAAATGTTGATTGTGTTTCATACTGTATCAAAAGGAATCTTCAACATGTGCAACTAACTAATAACATACTGGTTTGCAGCCAAATCAGTCAGGGTTTTTTCCTATTTCAGAAAGAAGAGATCTGGGAAAACTTTCTTTGGATTGGCATGATCAGAAAACTAGGACTTCTACAGAAAGTGCCTTTACTTGAGGGAATTATTAAGATTTTAATGAGAATCCTTCTTTCCAAAACTTTTACCAATTTTATGAAATACAGCATCTGGAAATGTTTATTTGTTTCTGTGAGAAAACATAAAAGAAAATGTAGAAGAGAAGGCTTAGAGATCCTTAGGTAGGGTTGTTGTTCTGATAAAAAAGGCATTTGTCTTTAATAATAAATTGATGCGTTCATTTGTTTGAGGTTTGTAAGAGACTTTAGTTCAGCCGAAAGCTTTCTAATACTGTTTTTTAGGAATAAGGAAGTATAAGCACTGTTGATAATGCCAGTCAACAGTGCCTAAACCCGAGGTGAGGGTGGGTGAGATGCGGGATGGGTTGGAGACTTCTGCATCACCAGGTAAGCAAGGTAGAAGAGGTGATGAGGTAACTTCTGAGAGAGCCCTGTGCTGAGGCACTCTCAGGGAAGAGGACACACATAACCGTTACTTGAGAGGACTTGTCATCACTCCAAACGTGTCTCCCCTGCTTCCTTCTTCACCCAGTTTTATAAACTGAGCATGATACTTGATGGGATAGGATATCCCTCTGGTCAGCTAGAGTCAGTTGTCCCAGTTGTGTCCCATCCCAGTCTCTTGTGTACCCTCAACCTCTTTAGAGGTGGGGTGAGAAGCAGAAAAGGCCTTGACACTATGTAAGCTCTGCTTAGGAATAACTGAAACATTGCTCTATTACCAGCACTGTGTCCAGCACAAATTCAAAACGCAGACCCATACTAGCTACTGTGAAGAAAATTATCCCACGTAAAGCCAGCAGACCATTAGTGTTTTCTCACTAGTGGATAGAGAACCATCTGCAATTTTAGCAGCACATTATAGCAAAATTTCTTCAAGACAGTTCCAAGGGGTTTTAAACCTACACGGAGAGAAAAGTGAGTGCCCTTTGTCTTTATCTTACCTGTCCTTTTCTGTTGCTTCCCCACTTGCAGTTGCACAGCATTTCAGACAAGCTGAAAACAGGACTATTAAAAGTCAGAGCACTGAAACTGTATGACGTGTTATTCTTCACTGAGGCCATGAACAATTTCAGAGCTGCCAGTGTCTGACTGAAATAATAGCTGTAGATATAGGATCTTTTGTAAGACAGATGGCTGAGAAAGGTACCATTTATCTACCAGGCAAGGTTTCATAACTCTTGGCATCTGTACATGAGGATCCCATCATTAATGGTTAGCTGTTGCTGATTACCTCAACTTAGTAGGTGTTGGATTAAAATATTTTTTCTTTTTTTTTTTATTTAAAGTATTCTATATGGCAATCTCTGTCATGGCACTGAAAGAGGAAAAGTAGGTGGTAAGGTGAGCTTATGTGTTTATGTTCACTGACTATGTTTCACAGTATCTATTCCTCTGCCTCTGTCTGGTGCAGTACACATGCAAGGTTATTTATGAATTCCTTACTACCCCAACTGTCTTTCCTAGTTCCCACTTTTGTACAGTCTTCAGAATAATGTTTTTCCCTTATTGCTCACTTGAAAGTATCTCTTCATAATGGGTGGCTACACAGCTGAACTCCCTTCATAATGGGTGGCTACACAGCTGAACTTCATGGCCAACATAAAGTACTATCTTTTGTTCTTGCCCTTTGGGGTTTGAACAGCTCCTGTTGTGTTATTTACTGACTGCAGATTGTTGCTGTTTGTAGATAAAGATGTAGGCATGCACTGCAGGTAAAATGAGCATACTTCACATCACAGGGCAAAGTTATAGTGAAGATGTTTCAACATGTCTGAAAAGATTT